AAGGAAATACAACTGACAGCTAAGGAAGCAAAGGAGAATGGAGCCTCTGGGTTCAACCAGCCATCCCCACTGGACCCACCTGGGAAAACACTTTGCAGTCTAGAGGGGAGCAAATGACAGGAAAATATCTTCTAACAGAACAAGAAGGCAAGCAGCTTTAACCCAAGACCACCAGTAAGATGATAAAGCATACTACCTTCCCCCCTTTACATCTACGCCCCTGTTCAGAATGAAGCCAGAGAGTCGGCATCCAGTTCCCAAATCAATAAGACAGTTGGTTTAATTACTATTGGAAAATGCTTGTCATTCCTCTGTAGCATCTGGTCCCCACTGGACCCTAATCATTTCCTTCACCTGCTCCCCCCACCGACCAAACTGTGCAGCACTGCAACTGCATCCTGGCCCATCCTCACCGTTCTGCCCCCAACCCTCACCTCCTTGTACCCCCAATGTTTTTCCCAATTAAAAAAAAAATAGGTCACTATAGGTTTTAAGCGTATGGCCTTGTGGCTGATTCTGCCCATGTGAGTTCACTTCTCAAACAAGAGAAAACAAGGCTGTGGAAACCCCAAACCAGGAGGCTGAGAGGATTTCAGGAGCCCAGGAATTTCAGGTGGAGACAGAGAGTGGGGACCAGTAGGTCTGGGGAAAGGAAAATCAGCATTTATCAGAGAAGGGAACGAAAATACATCTATGCCCTCCTGTCCTATAGTAATACTATGCTAACCACCCTTAGTGTGTAGGCTTCCCCTTGGCCAGATTTCTTATCAGGTGCCTTTGACTCGAGTATGACTCTTAGGACCCTGTGAACAACAGGTCTGAACCCTGCGCTATCTTGTACCATCTTCATCATCTCTGACACAGTGTCTATTGATTTGCCTTCTCCTATAACTGTACAAGAGTTAACAGACCACAGAAGAGGGAGGTTAACCAAAAGCATGTACATATTCACCAAAACAACAGAGAATCAAACCAAACCCACTGCAATCAAGTCAACTGGGACTCACAGTGGCGGCTCCACCGGACACCTGAACCTGTGTTTCTACAAGGAGACTGTCCCATCTTTATGCAGCAGGGTGGCTAGTTGATTCAAACCACCATCCTGTCAGCAGCTGAATGCGATACACACTGCGCCACCAGAGCTTCTTTCAGATAGATGCCCCCAAAAGCTGGTTAGCTGTGTTTGTTTTGCTCATTTGAAGAAATGTTTTGGTTTTCTGCAAAATGGGATTCTACCCCAGAAAGGTAAAAACACTGAGTTTTGTAAAACCATGATATGGAGGTAGATGAGGGGGCAACAGCTTGTTCCACAAACCTGAAATGAGACATCAAAAGATATCTCCTGAAGATGTGGAAAAAAGTGACTAATAAATTGTTTCATTGGTCAGTAACATGGTGTCACCATTGCAGGTAATTGGGAAAGTGTCCCAAACCCATAGTATGCCGGTGTTGTCGTGTGAAGGGACCAAGGTATCAACTGGAGGGAAACAGGTGGTGAACACAAACTATGAAGTATCACAGTTAGAAGCAATCCACGTAATACCGAGTGAATAATGCTGACCTGATGAATTGGCACAACAGCTACAGCACAATACTACACGCATTCAGTTGTCACCACTGCATGCAGAGCCGGTCCCACTCAGAAGTGAACTTAGAGGACAGAGAATTGTCCCCGAGGGCTTTCCTGGAGGGAGCTCTGGTGGTGTAGTGGTAAGGAGTTACACTGCCAACGCAAAAGCACGCAGTTCAAATCCACAAGCCGCTCTGCGGCAGAAGATGGGCAGTCTCCTCCCGTGAGATTTAGTTGCCTCTGAAAACACGCCAGAGGTTCCGCTCTGACCCAACCATTCCTTGAGGAATAGATTTCCAGGTCTTCCTTCCACCGAGCCACTGGGTGGGTCTGAACTGCCGCCCTTTCTGTTAGCAGGGGAGTACTTAACAATCGCGCTACCAGGGTTCCTGCCATTCAATAAAGCACATCATGTACCAAACACATTGTTCAGGATCTAGCTTTAACGTTGCACTGAGCACGAGAGGATCCGTATGGCAGCTGTGTGTGGGGTGCATTCAAAGGCAGGCTGGAAGTGCTGAGGGCATGTTCTCTTGGCATCTCTCTGCCCGCAGCAGGGCATCGCCGAGCTGGCCGGACTCCACCCAGCACGCTTGATGTCAGCGAGAGCCTCTGTGCTGGGGTTGCCCCAGGGACAGGTGAACCTGGTCAATGGATTTATTCAAAGATCAAGAACTCCTCCATTTAAAAATGCCAAGTCACTTTCCCCAAGCTCTGTGGATCCGAACTTGAGGCCTGTTTTCATCTCCATTCTTGCCCTCGGCCACCAACACTGGCTGTACTGCTTTCTAGGATGAGAGCTAAGAGTCTCCTCCTGCTTTTCTCCCTAAGTTAATGGCCCAGGCGAAGGCAGCGTGGCACCACTGTCATGTTTCTTCTACAGACGTGCCCACACAGAGAGCTCATGAGCCAGGACAGTTGTCGTGTCACCTTGAAGGCCCGAGGTGGATCCCAGTTATCAAGGTGGAAGGTACGCTTCCAACCACGTACGGCGCACTGGCATGAAAGGGGACCCTTGAAGTTGCACGTATTTTTCCAAGTGTCCAAGCCCGTTTAGCAGGTCACTAATGGACAGACAACAAAGCGGGCCCAGAGCCCAGAGTGCGACGACTGCCTGACCTGTAGAAACGCACACAGAAGGCTGTCCTGAAAACCACTTTTATTATGAGGTCAGAACAGATGAAATGCAGAGAGCAGCAGCAGCAGCAGCAGCAAGGAGGGTGTCCCTGACCCTCCACTAGTGCATGGTGACAGGGCGCCTGCCCAGGCGGCGCGTCTCCAGCCCGGCTATCAGAACCGCACTTGGGCCCTGAAGTGCATCTGTTTGGTGGCGTTGTTCTGCATTCCTGTCTTCAGCATCCACTTGGACTTCATCCTCTGCACATACTGCATGTCCCGCTCTCGCATAAGGGCTGCACCTATGGTTACAAGGGTGATAGGACATAAGGCAAGCCCAGGGCCACTGCTCATCGTGAAAGAAATCCTCAGCTCTGAGGAGAACCCATGTCGCTTGGGGGAGGGGGAAACGGAATTCTTATATTTAAAGGAGTTGCTACTTGGGGTCATCCAGCAATGGACCCTGGGATTCCCGAACACCCCAGATCACAGGTCAAACCTGTTTAGGATGAGCCTCATAGTTTTTATACTCTGAAGGGCTTATAAGCCCCAAATGAAGACATCCCACTGATCTAAGGGAATAGAAATATAGCAAAACTACAGATCAAGCCAGACAATCATTTCTGACAAGATAAAATCCCTTTCTGCTCAATTCAGGTGGCCTCACAGTGGATACGCCCCTCCTAAGAAACCATCGGTGGTCCCCTGATGCCCTCCAGGCCCCTCTGGTTGGGCTGAAGCTCTGCCCAAAGACTGAAGGCTAGAGAGCTTCAATGAGCAGCTTTAGTCATTTTGTAGTGTGGACAGTTCACAGCTCAACGTGAGTGGTGCTAATCCTCTAAATTCTTTCTTGGAAAAGCACAAGAGGAGGGGATCCTAGCCAGCCTTGGCTCCCTTCTCCAGCAGATACTTCACACACAGGGTGCTACTCGGTTCTCAGAATGGGAAAGCAGCTTATTCTCTTCTCGACTTTGCAAATGAGGACACAGAGCGGGGACATCAATTACTAATGATCATCGCAAAGCAAGCAGCCCTTGGGGTGAAGTGGTTACAGCATCTGCTGCTAACTGAAGACCCAGCAACAGCTCCATGGAGAGACATGTGGCTGCCCGGCTCCAGGAGAACAGCCTTGAACCCTGTGGGGCTGTTACTTCTCGGTTTTACAGCAATGCCATGAGTAAGAGCGTGTCTAAGTCCTGTCTGCTTTCACAGTGCACACTACTAATCACTACTCAGGGGCACTGCATTCCGCTGTGTGGCCATCAAGATCATTTCAACTTTTGATGGTCACCGAATACTGACTTTTTTAACTGTTCTCTTCTGGGAAAAGATAATGGTGATCTGCGTTTTTAAGGTTACCAAGCCAGAAACATAAAGTGTTAGGTCTTGGAGCTTTGGGCTTATTGTCATAAAGGTATGAGATGGCTGTGGAAGCTCCTAAGAAGGCACAACTTACCGACAAAGTGCTACACGAAGCCCCGCCCTCCCAGGGCCCCTCCCGACAGAGGTGAAGCCTGAGGCCAGGCTCTGAGCATCACGTACCTGCGCTGCCCTTCCAGCCCAGGGCTCGGTACTGCTGGAGGACTCTGCCCACGGCCTTCTTATTTTTAGCAACTGCCACAACTCTCGACAACCCAAAGCGCTGCTTGTAGTATCGCATCAAGGAGCGGTGACCCACTCTGGCACCTGTTTTTCAAGAGCAAGAAAGAAACGTGGAGTGGTGAGCTTTGCAAGGCAAAGCTGGGCAGCAAAGGGCTTTGCAGATCAGGAACAGCTGTGCCAGACCCAACTGAGCTCTACTGCGCCTTGCTGCAGACAGATCACAGGGTAAGTAAGAGGGAGGAGTGGGACCAGGACAAAGAAACTCAAATCACACACGGAAAAGGAAAAAGGCAGCAAGCCAGCCAGGGGACAAGCTCAGCGGCTTGTGCTTAGAGAGCATGTGCCTCCGGAGAAAGGACAGCACCAGTGCTGAAGCAAATCATAAAAGGGGGTCCCTGACAGAATGCAACACAACAAAATCCAATTCCTAACAAGGGCCAAAATTACTGCACTGATAGATCTAAGAGGGAAAAGCAAAGACAGAAGGGAAGGTAAAGAAGGGAAGCTAGATGGACGGAACAGCACCAACAGAATGGAATGAAAATGCTGACACGCCATAATGAGAACCCCCAGAACAGAGGAACCGTCTAAGAACGGTTAAAGAGCAGCTTATTCAGAAGCATGGCTGCTGAAACCCACATACTCTGGGCAGGCTGAGACATCACACTGTGAAAGGTGGAGGGCAGAGAGGGGGCCTGGAACAAGCTGGCCTGACACCGTGACTGGGACAATGTGCTGGCGCTCGTCTGCGATGTGAAGATGGAGCAGGACAGGAGGGGTTACAATCTGTCGTTCACAGGTTGCTATGAGTCATAGTTGGCTCAACAGCACCTAACATCAACAGGCTGCAGAGTGTAAATGTTCACCTAACACTGCAGAATATTAAAAAAATCAACCAATCAATCAAAGGGAAGACTCTGGGCAAGAAGGGATCCCAGCCTATTTTAAACAAATAAGTTTAAACACAAGAGCGGTCAGCTATCTTGGTCTACACTTCAGTTAGGGACTTGAGGTCCATCCTCCTCTGCTATGTGGAAATGCTCTAGTGCAAGGCTCCTAACCGGGGCAGGTACATAGGCCCCGTCCACCTCTGGTGTGCAGAAATGCTCTGTTGCAAGGTCCTAAACCCCAGGGCAGGTAGACAGGCCCATTCACCTCTGCTGGGCGGAAATGTTCTGCAAGGCTCCCAACGGGGGCAGGTAGATAGGGCCCTGTCCACCTCTGCCATGAGGAAATGCTCCAGTGTGAGGCTCCCAACTGGGGCAGGTTGACAGCCTTCGCTCCACTCTCGTTCCCAGACGACCTCTGACAACAACTGGCTATCACTGGGTTATCACGTGCCGAAGGGTATTACTGGCCTCTTGTGGGTAGAGGCCAGGGCCACTGCCAACATGTCAGAATGCACAGGACAGCCTCGGGGATTATGGCTCCAAATGTCAACAGCGCTGAGACTGAGAATCCCTGATCCTAATGCTTTCTAAATTACTGTGATCACCTGGTGAACTACAATTAAGATTCCCCAAAACCAATCTCCCTACTGCTTTTGTTCACTTAGAAAAAGCTGGAAAAACTGCCAATCAATCAGTTTTTTCTAAAAATATCTAAATTCAATCACCAAGTTGTTCTGGCATCATTACAATATATGATCATCTATTATCATTGTCTCCTATTACCTTTTAATATCAGTTTGTAGCAGGAAAACCAAAACTCACTGTGGAGCCACTCTCACCTCCTAGTGACCCTGCAAAGGGATCGGAAGTGTCCCCAGGGTTTCGAAGGCCGTCAGTCTCTCCAGAAGCACTCCTGGGGGGTGGTTGGTAGACTGGAACATCAGCCTTTCAGTTACAGCTCTCAATCACTGCACCAGCAGCTCTCCCTAACAGGTACACTCCACAGGGACCTCTGAGATGGGAATCTTTCTGGGAGAGCAATGCCCATCTTTCTCCCGTCCAGGAGCTAGTGGGCTCCAACTGTCAACCTTTCTGTTAGCTGCCTAATCCCTCAAACCCTCCCTGACCAGGGTCTCCAAATTCTAACACAGTGGAAAAAATTGTTCAAACAAGCAAACTATGGGATAAAGGCATCACTTCAACCACGAGCTTGGGAAATTCCACAGCTGAGCTAATGAACACTGAAGAAAAGGTATTTATCTGTAAGAGGAACAATGTGAGGTGACTGTTTAGGCTCAATGGGAGCTGCCCAGGTGACACAATGAATCTAGACACTAATCAAAAGGTCAGCAGTTTGAACCCACAAGCTACCCTGTGGAAAGAGAGTGTAATGGTTTGTTTCTATAAAGATCAGTCTTGGAAACCCAATGGGCAGTTCTCCTCTGCCTACAGAGTCACTGTGAGCCAGTACTGACATGATGTGCTGGTAGGCACCACTGAGTGACTTGTTGGCTCACTCACTGCCATCGACTTGGAAAGGAGTCAGAGCTGATGCACCAGCAGAATGTCAACTGCAGGGGAGGTGACTGCCCAGCTTTCTCCTACAAAGCTGCTGGCAGACCTGAACCAACAGAGGCACAACACTGGGGTTAGCAGTGCAATTCCCTACAGACTCGGGCCTCAGAGGGCCCTACTTAACGGCAGTAAGCATTTAAGGGTGAAGCACATTGGATGTCTTAACTGAGGAGTGGTCAAACTGTAGCCAGTGAATCAAATCTAGACAGCCACTGGATTTGTTACCGTAAATAAAGTTTGGCTGGAATTTAGCAACACCATTTAGATAAGGAATTCTCTCTGGCTGCTTTGATGCTACATAACGGGCAAGCTGAGTACTTGCCAGAGAGACCCAATAGCCCACAAGACCTAAACTACTGTATCCAGCCTTACAGAGGGGAAATATGCATCACTGCTGGCCACACTGATGGGCCAGACTCCAGTGACGACCAACTCCAGGTCCCATCGGAGCACAGGCTTGGAAAAGGTGGTCTCTGGACCACAGACCTGAAAGCTTCCAAAATATGCCCTTGTCAGTTTCTGTCAAGCTGATTTCCACCTGGGTGACCCTAAGTGTGCGGCACAGAACTGTTTCATAGGGTTTTTTCAAGGTTGAGACCTTTCAGAAACACACAGACTTGTCTTCTGAAGCACTACTGGGTGGGCTCAAACTGCCAACCTGTGGCTACTCAAATGCTTAACTGTTTATGTATTTACGGACTCCAAACACAAGTGAACTTTTCATGATGCTAGGATACAAGCAACCACATTACGTACCCAGATAGAACGTGTAGATACTACTTAACGTGACATACAAACCATAAAACATCTATTTCCACAGAAAATAAATGAGAAGTAGACCTATATGCACATTGTCTAGCTACGCTTTACCATTTTTACCAAACATAAAATCATCTCTTCCAAACTCTTCTGTCATAAAGAGGACACCACAAAATGCTAGAGATGACTGAATCCGCTTTTAGGATGCAGGCTTTTAACTTGAATGATAAAAATGCTATCAGGTTATTTTAAAATGACTTAGTGGTAAAGAACCGCACTGTTAACCCAAAGGCATGCTGCTCTGAGAAGGAAAGGCAATCTCCTCTAGTGCGATTTACAGCCTCTGAAAATCTGCTGGAGGGTCACCTATGGGTCAAATCCAACTCAACGGCAACAACGTACTTATCAAAAGGGAGCTGTGGGGCACAGTGCATAAGGAGCCGGGCTACTAACAAAGGTATAGGTGCCTCTATGGCAGTTCAAATTCTGCTACTCCTTGGAAGAAAGATGGACTGTGTAGATAACAACAAATTGTGGCTAACCTGGAGAAGAATGGAAATCCCAGAACACTTGACTGTGCTCATGCTAAACCTATACTTGAACCAGAAGGCAATCATTAGAACAGAGCAATGAAACACTGCATGGTTCAAAATCAGGAAAGGAGTGTGCTTCCTCCTGTACAACTTACAGCCTGTTGATAACCTGCTGGTGGATGAGCTGATTCTGAGCCTCAACGGCAATGAGAGAGACTTGTCTAAAGGGCCACCTGTTAACGTGGCGGTCAAGCTCTCAGCCAGGTCAACCCCACCAACTGCTCCACATGAGTAAGCCATGTCACGGTTTCTATAAAGATTTACAGCCCTGGAAGCCCCATGGGGCTGCTATCAGGGTCAACAAAACAGCAATGGCTTTTTCTTTAATACTTGGGAAGCCACTTGCCAAACAATTTGCTTGCTACACGGACATGGGAAAGTTGTTATTGGGTGTCATCAAATCGAGTAGGATTGTCATGACAACCCTATGAGTAACAGACCTGAAACCTGTCCTTTCCTATGCCACTTTCATCATCTCTGACACACCTGGGCCCATTGCTGCAGTCACTGTGTCAATCCATCTCATTCAAGGTCTTCTTCTCTTTCACTTTCACTCACCTACCACCTTCCTAAACAGGCAACCTCTCTCCAAGAACAGTCTCTCTTGACAGCAAGATCAAAGTATGAGAGATGAAGGTTCACCATCCCTACCTCCTGGGGGGTGAGACTGTACCATTTCCAAGACATATCTGTTTGTTCTTGGCAGTCCATGGCATATCCTGCACTCAGAGAAATAAATTTTTCTTCTGTCATCTTTATTCACTGTCCAGCTCTCAGATGCATAGCAAGTGACTGAAAAGACCATGGCCTGAATCAGGCACACTTTAGTCTTTAAGCTAACATCACTGCTCTTTGGTGTTTTAGAGAGGTCCTTGACAACAAACTTGCCGAAAGCAATAATCTCCTAACTACTGGTACCAAGTAAGACTAAATCATTGGCAGTTTCAATCCTTTCTCCATCTATCATGATGTTCCCTATAAGCCCAGTGATAAGGATCTATGCTTTCCAAATGTTTTGTACAACTATTTTGTGATCATAACCAAAAGATCACACATACAGGCTTTGAGAGAACCTTTTAAAAGCAGCCCTGATATTCCTATGTCAATGGATAAAAAGGTCTCCCTGCAGCCTGAAGGTTCTGGAAGCACAAGCAAGGCTCTCACATCAAAAGAAGGAAAAGCATAGCTTTTTTTCTATTTCCTGGAGCAGGACCGGAGGCTGAGCAAGGCTCGAGCAGGCAGCCTGGCACTGCGAGTGGGACGGCCT